CGGATAATGGTCGGATAATGATGACCCCGGCGCCGATTGCCCTCCGCTACCACTGCAAGGCCCGTCGATCACATTTTCCCCGTTTCCCTTCCCACCGCCTAGCCTTCCCGCCGCGCCGTCGCGCTTCTTTATCGTCCATGTATCGAGATTTCCATACAAAGTTGCGCCCGGCGTGCTGCAACTCGCTGCATTTCTCACGCGCATATACGCTTACTTACGACTTATGCATCGACGAGTGCATCGGCCTCGGCGCGGCGGGCCGATTTAAGGAAACAGAAGGAAGGAATCGGACAATCTCCCCATTAAGTGTTCCGAGACTTTGAATTTTCAAGATGAACAAACCTAACCTTTTGAATTCGATCGATGACAATTGTCGCATCAATCGACAGCGTAGTCTGGTCGGTCAATCGAAATATTAGGGACAGTGGCAAGAGATAAAAGTTCGAATTACCCAGGATTTTTTTTAAGAGAAGGTTTTATATTGATTGTCGTCAATATTTATCACATAAACAATAATAAATTCTCTGCATTAAGAAATTATTCTTTTTCAGTATAATTTATAATAGCTTAGAATACATCTCCTTCTCATTTCTCACATTGAATGGAAAAGAAGAATAGGTTTAAAGGTTAATCTCCCTCCACCTCCTCAATGCTCATTTCGCAATTCATATATTTATCACTATTTTTCTCTGATATCAAGCTACCGGTAGCGTCGCGACGCCATCTGCATAAATATACGAGTATAAAACGGGACGCGTGACCACTTGCCATGTCAATGACATTGTGTATACGTTTGTGCCGTTGCCAAATTCGCGACGCAAGTTGTATCTGGAGAGTTTTGACATCAATAAACTTTAGATTAAAATTACTCAGAAACTAAAACCGCAATCAAACATTTTAAAACACCTTTATTGTACCATATGTATGCCATCGGTATCTTTCGATTGCGATCAGTCCGAATAAAATTGGTGCAGCTGATACCGAGATCTGGAGATTGGTGACAACTTCAGTTTTTCAAATTTTTTCAGTCGTACACTGCTGTTCAATAATCGAGTCTCACTTTAGTCGCACTTGGGTGTAGATGACCGCGCCATGTACTCGTATGTATACACACTTCTCCACCCTCCTATATACGTACACTCGATTAATGTTAATATTAGTGTACGTGTGACTCGTACATATAGAGCGTTTTGTCCATTAAGCTGCTTTTCGCAAGGGCAAGGAAAGAAGGAGAAAAGCGAGAAAAAGATTACAACTCTTAATATTAAATCCATATTCTCGTAAAAAATTTGTATTGGTGCACAGAAAAAATATTACGATTGCTACAACCGGAAATAACGATAATTTTCGCCCATCAATATATATGGTTGTGATAACCTTAAGATGGACATATCTTTACAGCCATAACCGTTAAGATATGCCAATCTTATTGTTATCACAATCGTACTATAGTTCTTATATCCAAAAAATGTATTGATAGACGACCCTACACAGATCTGTTTGTTTCCATCAATATAATGAGTTGCTTTCCATTCATACGAAACCCATAATAAATTCGATTGTACTCATTGTCAGTCCTCACTAAAGCCATATTTTGTGCCATACGTCGTATACAAATATTAACATAAAAATATATTATTTTGCGTCAAATCAAATTATCGCGTTTAGAATCTTTATTTGGGTATGTCAGTATGTGTACCCAGGAAAAATGTTATTCTTGTTGTTCACCGAATGTCAAACAAAGATAAAATGACACTTGGGTGGAATTTCTGAATACAGCCCTGACGCGCTGCCCATACCGGGGGCGGAAGTTAATTCATTGGTTCCTCGCTCTGCTCTATCTGTCGTGTCCGTCGAGCAAACCGCAGATCGTTGGAGCCTCTCTCGAGACCGATCGGTTCGCGACAACAAAGTGTCGATGGCCACCGTGCGAACGCAAACATAAATCCAAATTAGCGGCAACTTAACACGCAACTTAACCGTGCGCCGATCGATTCTCTCCTTTCCTTGCGTTTTCGAATGCATGACAGCGTAAATCGTGAGGACCTATCGGTTTATCGCTCGACACGCGTTTCGATCCCTTCGCCGCGCGAACGTTGATATCAGCGATTCGAGTTTAAAGTCTGTCCACATAATCGCGATTGCTATATTTCACATTCCTTTACGAAATTACTTAAGCGAGAAGAATTGTTTACGGATTCGGATTTGTAAAAATTTATTACAAAACAAAAGAGATAATACTATTATTAAGTTTTATTCAAAAAAACTTTTCAATTTCTTTTCACAAGAAATTCCTATTTTGTAGAATAGGTTTCCGATTTAAAAATTCAAGCATTTAAAACTCGAAAGTTGCACAAGTGAAAGATTACATCCACCAACGAGTCTAAAAGTTTCATACTATGTTGTGCATCTAATAATGTTCTTTCTAATTAAAAGATATAAATAGAAAATGGACAAAAATTGTATGTCAAACGCGCGCGCGCAAGTCTAATTTTTATTCCTTTTACAAGTTTTAAATTAGACTATAAGCATATTTTTTCTCAAAATATATTTATCACGCTATAAAAAAAAAACATGTGTATTATTCAAACCTTTACATAAAATTTTATATTTGTTATATTATTATTAACCTCGAATACTCTTTAAAACATAATATTATAAATGTCTTAGTATCTTGTTACGAAAATATGCATGCTTGTTTATTAAATACTTGCATAATAATAAACATAAATTTAATACATATAGCTATATTATATGAAGCACCGACGAGATTATTATGTTATTAAAGACAGTCGGCTCTTACGGAAGTTCGCGTGATTGTCAAAATTTAAGCAATTAAAAAACTTATAATACGGTACTAATTTCATAATTTATTAGTTTCGTAGACATGTATATGTGTGTTTAAAACTTAATAATACTGGAATTTTATTTAAAACTGTGATTTTAATGTTATCATCTGAGTTTGATTATCAATCTCAGAGATGATAACTGCAGAGAAAAAATTGTAATTTTTCGGCAATATATAACATATTATATTATAGTATTAAAAGTATACGCGCTTATGGATGTGATTTGGCAACTTAAACTGACAATTACACACATTTGACGATCAAATAATATTAATAAATTGCGCATTAATAATAATAGAAATAATAATTTTCATAAATAACTATTTTAGGGACTTACTCCTTTAATTCATAAAATAATACATAGATTTACGAGGTATTAGGAGTCAGCTCTGGCATGTACTAATTTGCGCAAATATATTCAATGATAAAAATATATATATAAAAATAAAATTTTAATAATTTTTCAATGTTTCGATTCGGCTTCGAGACATCCTCAGCATATACATATATAAATAATTACCGGTTTTCAAACATTGTATCGTTTTGTGTGTGTGTCAAGTTTGAATCTCAAAATACATATATTCTTCCTTCTAAATGTAAATTACGTGGACCATGTAGTGAGACGCGACCATCCTCAACATTAACCAATGTTGTGACACTTGACACTTCAGTTTCATAGCTGAGTGGTGGTGGATTGACCATCTCAAAATGGTCTCTAGAAATTATTAAAATTTTATTTTTATATATATTTTTATCATTGAATATATTTGCGCAAATTAGTACCAGCGCTGACTCCTAATGCCTCGTGAATCTATAATATGTATTATTTTATAAATTGCGTATATTTTAATGTAAATCTCACTGAGTTAGTCTTTTTAATTGATGTATTACAATTAATGATTATTACTGAGGAGGACTCTAACCGTGGATCGAAAGCGTTTAATGTACTAGCTTAATATTAATAAACTTATGTTTCGCACAACAACCATGCAGCGTTGGCTCTTAAAGGCTTTTTATTAATAGTTGATTTACTTCATTACTAGAGCCTATACAATTTTGAAATTATGCATGCTTATATATTTATACAGAATTTATATATAAAAAAAATTATGACTATAACAATGTATTATCAAAATATTTGAAATATTTATGTTAATAATTGTAAATTTTTATTCAATAATGTCAATTATCTCCTGGCCTCCGGAGCTCCATTGATATACAGGGTGGGGAAAAAGTATGGAAGCAAACAATTATTTCCGAAACTATTCATTTTTCGACAAAATGTCTTAGACATAATTTTTATGGTATGAAAAAGTTTAATGTACTAGCTTAATATTAATAAACTTATGTTTCGCACAACAACCATGCAGCGTTGGCTCTTAAAGGCTTTTTATTAATAGTTGATTTACTTCATTACTAGAGCCTATACAATTTTGAAATTATGCATGCTTATATATTTATACAGAATTTATATATAAAAAAAATTATGACTATAACAATGTATTATCAAAATATTTGAAATATTTATGTTAATAATTGCAAATTTTTATTCAATAATGTCAATTATCTCCTGGCCTCCGGAGCTCCATTGATATATAATCACGAAAATTTGCCCAAGATCAACTGTCTTTAATAGTATCTCGTCAATGTGATAGAGTCAATAATGATCATCGATGTTAAATTGTCGAAAATTTTAAAACAACAATCGATAACATCGGTACTCTTTAATTACCACCGAGCTTCCAATGATAATCACGAAAATTTACCTAATATCGGTAATCATATCTTAATGTGATCATATGATATATAATAATATTTATATAATTTAATATTAATATATAAATAATATATTATAGTCTACAGACATAATTTGAACGCAATCTGTATTTGTTGTATTTATGATAGGCAACTACAAATTTATGTATCAGAATTTGTGTATCTTGTGTGAAACACTGAAACACAAAAACATGAAAAATATATTAATTCCAATATAACTCATGCGGGTATTCATATTTCGAAATTGAAACTTGACGTTACCATCGCACGAGGTCTCTAAATTCATCTTATTTCAGTGAGAGCTGAGACTGCTGAGAGTCTGAGAGCGCCACCGGCTGTCAGTGAATTCCTCACGTTGAAGAAGGTCACGCGAGTGCCTTTGAGATATATCGGGCGTGAGAGAGTGCTCTTCTCGCGAAAATTTTCACGACCATTTGACGCGTGACGTCCACTCACCACTGCCGTCGACATGCTGCCCCGATTCCTCAGGCCTGTCGTAAATGTCAGCCAGCAAGGCGCGAAACTATTATCCACGAGCGCTACGGTAAAGTATCACTACAGCGAACCACAAAACTTTTATCTATTTCCTAAGAAGTGAGAATCCGTCGGAAATTAATTATCATTAATATACCCTGCGAGTAATGTGTAACATTTTACTACCTTAATATGTGTTGCTAGATATTCCATGTGCGGATGGCGATTCAGTGGAACAATAAATCCACCTTAGAAAAGTCCTTTGAAAAGTTATCTTTCACAATCTTATTTCTCATGTAAATCTGTATCATATTGCATACAAGTCGCTAGTTATGGCCACATTTGCTATATCTCTTGGGATCGTTGGTTCATAGGATGAATACGAGAAGAGAATCTTCAATGACCTTTGACGACACACGTACGGCGGGGCGGGAGAGATTAACAGATATCGCTTGTCACCTATCATATATCATTGAACCATGAGTGCCGCAATCGGTAATCGGAACACTGTTATGCAACTGCAAATTATTCAGCTCTGCAATGCTAACGTGTTACTTGGCCCATCACGACATTTTTGGAACCTGATTGCGAAAAAAGAATAATTCCGATGCTTTGTTGTATCTACTTATATTTTTTTTATCACACAATCCTTTATATGAAAAAATGAGCTATAAAATAAATTAAAATAAATACATTGAAATCAACAGATGAGAATTGGAGAAATTTTTAAGCATTAATTGCAAATACAATTATTTAAAAGATTTAACAGAGTATTACTTTCTTAATTAAACTCCTCGCCTGGATTGAGTTCTAGCCAAATTATTTTTTTCAAAATGTTACAATTCTAACTGTATTATTTATTTCACAGTGCGATGCAAAAGTCAGTGTCATGGGAGCAAGCGGTGGCATTGGCCAGCCACTGTCTTTGCTTCTCAAACAGTCCCCTCTCGTTACGGAATTATCGTTATATGATATTGTAAACACACCTGGTGTCGCTGCCGATCTCTCACATATGAATACTCCTGCAAAAGTTAAAGCCTATAATGGTCCGGAGCAGCTCAAAGATTCTCTTAAAGGTTCTCAGGTATATATCATCATTATGATACAAAAGATTATATTATTCAGTATTTGATAGATATAGAGATAATATTTGTGTTTACAACATAAATATTTAATAGTTACATTTACAAATGGTTACTTATACCTTTTATTGAACTCGTTAGATTGAAATTAATCGATCTCATTTTAAATTTTCATCATTTATTTATTCGTATGCATTACTTTTAGGTTGTTATTATACCTGCGGGCGTTCCACGCAAACCAGGCATGACACGTGATGACCTGTTTAATACGAATGCCTCCATCGTCCGGGATCTTGCCGCTGCGGTGGCTGAAGTTGCGCCAAAGGCTTTTGTAGCAATCATCTCAAATCCGGTCAACAGCACAGTACCAATTGCGAGTGAAGTGCTACAAAAGGCGGGCGTTTACGATCCTAACCGCGTATTCGGAGTGACTACTTTGGATATTGTCAGAGCAAACGCCTTCATCGCGGAAGCTAAGGTATTCAGTACACCAATATACATACGTAAAATAATCTTTAACTTATACATAAGTAAATATTGTTTTTAGAACTTATGTTCCTAACACAACCAAAATTATCTCGGCATTAAAATGGATATATACGTAAATACGAGAGTCACTATAGCAACCTTAATAAATTAAGACTTCATCTGTTTTGATATCTCGATTACATTTTCTTTTTCACTACATTTCCTACTTCTCAAGTACAAACATTCAGCTTCAGATTGTTCTATATGCAAGAGATTAAACATGATAATATATACATGTGTATAACACGAGAAAGAAGATTTCTCGTGTTATACACATGTATATTATCATGTTTAATCCCTTGCATTGTATAGCCCTTTTTATTCATATCACTTGTGTGTTTATTCTTTGTTTTTAACATAAAGATCCCATATATAAATGTAATGAATAATCAAAGACGTCGAATGCAACAGTATTAATTTTCGTTCAATGGCATATTGAATTGGGACGATATAAGTACGTCGCTTATTTTCCATCTTTCGTTAATAATAATATAAAAAGAACAACAATTGTTAAGATATTGATAATACTGAAATGGTTGCTTTTTTAGGGCCTTGATCCACAGAAAGTCAACGTCCCAGTCATTGGCGGACATAGTGGCATCACTATTATCCCGTTGATCTCGCAGTGTACACCGTCGGTTTCCTTCCCGGATAATCAGCTGAAAGCGCTTACCGAGAGGATTCAAGAGGCCGGTACCGAGGTCGTTAAAGCTAAAGCAGGAACTGGATCCGCGACTTTGTCCATGGCTTTTGCTGGCGCACGATTTGGTCTTTCATTAATAAGAGCGTTGAATGGGGAAACGGGTATCATCGAGTGCTCGTACGTCAAGTCGAATGTTACTGATGCCAAATACTTTTCTACGCCGATACTTCTGGGCGTAAGTAAAGACATCGAATTAAACTGCTTAACACCGCATCAATACGTATGCTACCATACATTTTTGGAAGAAATGACTTCAAATATAAAACATTATCTTCTCTTCATATATATGATTTGTTTTTTAATCAATTTAAAAATGTATTTTTTATTATGTTGTCTGTTCTTCGAATAATATATGACATACAATTCAATTTTGAAAAAATATTCGAAAATTTCTTAGGAAAACGACTATTCCAAATAAAAATGTATAAAAGGTGTTTTACTTTATTACGTAATTACATCATCATAAAAAAAGATGAAAATTTTTATTTGGAATTTATTTGAAATTTCAGAAAAATGGAATTGAGAAGAATTTGGGATTAGGTAAACTAAGCAGCTTTGAGCAGAAATTACTGGACGCCGCCATCCCGGAGCTTAAGAAAAATATTCAGAAGGGAGAAGACTTTGTAAATAAAAAGTGAGATCTCTGTCGGGCCTAGCTGGACAGAGCGTGATCTGTCGAATTACGTATGATGAGAGATTTGCCGGCCTTCCTTGCTCGCCTTGCAATTATGATAGATTATCACAACAATCGAAATTTTTTAATCGTGAAAACGCAAAAATCCGTGAATGTATCTTCCATTTCTCTTGACCTGCAGATATGCATTAAAAATGTAGAATTGCGGACAGATTATCGAATGTTAAGATCATGTAGGATAAGTGAAATATTATTACTGAAACTGTATAGAAACTGTAGAGAAAAATTATATCTGTAATAAGAACTTATGTGTAAAATAAGGAATAAAAAATTGGACTTTTCAAAATTGGCATATCTGCTCGAGCGACTTTTTGTGTACGATGTAGGAAAAGTTTGAATAAACGCTCTTTCGACTAAACGTAAGAAAGTTTCTTCCTCTTTTATCACAGATTTTATACTTGTATTTAATATGTGATATTACTATACTCTCTCGTTCTGTTTATGATTGATGTGTTTCAGGATTGGAAAAGATTTCGGCGTGCGGTTTTTGATACGAATATAAATTCATATAGAAATATTTAAGCACTAAGATCCGCTTAGACCGAATATAGGGTTTCTCTTATTTAATTAGTTTTATATTTGGTCTCTGTCATGAATTTAATTTAAGTTGAAATTTTCTTCGAATGAAAGTTCAACTTGCCTATATATCATGACTTTGATAATCAAATGTTATTGAGAATATCAAATTTATTGAGAAGAAAATTTTTCTTTTTGGAAGAAGAATCCTTACGCTTTTTCACCTGCATTGACTCTTATTAGCCTGACTTATAGGTCTGAATTTTTCATATTTTTAATCTGCATTGATAGAAACGGACATTAATCGGTAGATTTATATGCGCATGACGGGAAGCTACGTGCTATCGTATGTAAATAACGAACCACAATAATACACAAGTAGACAACCTTGAAATGGATAGTAACGAACTCTCAAGCGTGGATACAATAATTCTCCCGTATCCGCAATTCGTACGAAAGTGTAGCGCAAAAACGTGCTTTGAAGTCTGATTAAATCGCGCTTAAATTTAGTAAAGAGTGCAAGTAGATAGGTATTTAATTCATCGCGAGACGATCTTGTATATAGAACACAGTGATTGTATGGACAAATATTTCATGACGAGACGCAAGCACAAACGATCGCGAAAGAAGGCTAAGTTTCCGAAGGTGCAAGAGTCTTCTCAGAGAGAGAAAAACGTCCGGCCGAGATTCTTTGATCAGAGAAATGAAGATAAAGAAACGATCAGCGACGCTTCGCATCCGCATCGATATTCTCCGGAATCGGTGCTGTTCGAATCGCCTCACGTGGACCCGCTCTGCGATAATAAGCTCAGTCCGGAAATCGTTTCCAAACAATTATCTAGGACGAAATTGGAAGACTTGAAGAATGATACAGCAATCGAGATCGCTGCGCGGATGATAGAGCAATCGAGTCCAATCTCGTCCAAGTATTGCAAGTCGAAGCTTCGGATTTACGATACCAAGTGTACAAACGATTATCCTAATAATTTAGAAAACTGTGAACGCGAGCAGTATACTATTAAATCGATCGCCAGCGATCAGCCGTTTCATCTCATGGAGAATTATTCATTCTGTTTATCGTCCTTGAGCAATAAGGTAAACAAGAATAGAATGGCCAATATAACACATGATGAGAGATTCTCGAATACCTCGAAAACCGAAGAAGCTTATCGAAATATTTCGAGGTCAACGATATTTCGCTCCAATTTGGAATCTCAATCGCGTGACGACGACGTATGCATTTTCGCGAATGCAGTCCCAGAACCTGTGAATTTCGATGAAAAACGATCTCCGAGCTCGAATCAACGAGAGGATCACTCCGAGAGTATATTTGACACGACGGACGATTGTTATTTATTAGACAAGACGTTTTCGATGAACGACAATCTCATGCGTGAGATAAATAGCTATCTGGACGAGCAGTCCGACAAGCGGAGCGAGCTCGGATTATCAGTCCGTAAATCCGTCAATGGATCTGACGATGGATTGCGAAGTAATTCGGACAAAAATAAGAGGAGAGCATCGAGTGACGATAAAAAATTCGACGTCGCGCTCGAGAAGATCGGCGAACGTTTGATAGCGAATTGGCGTGAGTTCCGGAAGATCTTTGCGTATCTGCGGCAAGTAAACGGCGGAAAGACCCGCGGAAACGCTGCGATCGAAAGCAGCGAGTTCTTGTTACACAAGTACAGGAGGTTCCCTCACATCTCCGTCTCGACATTGTCCCTGCCGAGCCTGCCCTCCGTGTTTTGCACATCTTCGACTTCGCCGAGGAAACTGAACCATCGGCAATATCGGCATGAACCATCAGAATCAAATAAATGCGAAAGATCGAAGCGAGAAGCTGAGAAAAGCGAAATTCCGTCCACGACGACGCCTCGCGTGATCGGATCGATGAAACGTTGTCGCCGAACGACCTTAACATTCGGGGATGAGGACGAGGCCGACGAAGGAGAGGCGGCCAGGTACCGGCAACCGGCAACAGGCACTCGCGCGCCGGATATTACAGAGACGAATCCGCTTTCGGAAATGAAGAAGAAGAATGAGGAGCGTTCGCTTCTGTTAGATCTGCCCTTGTTCCGTAAAATACCTCATCAAGACAGCCGCTTCCCAGAATCAACGACCGCTTCCAAACTATCTGGCGATGATTGCCGTCGTAGCGACTCTCTGCAAAAAGTATAAGTCGTTTATTAAAAAATACAATAGTAAATAAAGTCTTTCTCACTTATGATTATCACTCGTAATTCAATATAACATGCATTGAGGGAAAAATATAAATCTTTTATGGAGAATTTTATCGAATTGAGCTGTATATATATATATATGTGTGTGTGTGTGTGTGTGTGTGTGTGTGTGTGTGTGTGTGTGTGTGTGTATTTTTACTTGTTCAGTTCCCGATTGAAGTTGCTGCCCGTCAAATGTGCACTTTACTAATTTATCCTCATGATAATTCAAAATTTCTTTCTTTGTGTTTTCAAATAATCAGACAAAATATCACTGGAATGGCTCTCGTAATCACCAGGCGCCCCAAACGGTTCGAGACACTCCCAGCCACGTATTTCAACGAAGAAACATTACCCGTACGATAATCACATGGGTGATCGTTATCAGTATTTGGCTGATAAAAAAATTGCTGCATCTCGTAAATGTCGTAAGTTTCTTATATAATTTGTTTAAAATGAATATTCTTGTTTCCTCATTGCAGCTATATTGAATTACAGTTGAATTTTTCTATAATTCTTAACATATTGAAATCGAATGAATTCTTTGGTATACTTTGGTATTCTTAGCACTTGAAAAAGTTTTTTAATCACAGAAATAATTTTATAAATAACTTTAATTACATGTATATGTCTGTATGTAAATATTTTTTTATTACTTGTATATAAATATCTTACTTGTAACATCTGTCTATTTTAGGTAAAATTGATAATCAATTTTTTTTACAGGGTTATAAAAAACTGCAACAGACATTGATCGTTCCACCTTTATGGAGGATTTCTTCTTCGACAAAGAAATTTGATCATCTGGTGGAAACAATGCGTTCCGAAAAGGAAATGCTGCACGTAATATCGGAAAGGATGACGCGACTTTCGGAAGATTTCAACCAGGTAAGATTACTTTCAAATTCATTATTATCTGGTCCTACACCGTGAGATTAAATTAAAAATGTTCAAATTATATTCTTATTTCTTCATGAATTTTCGAAAAAATGTGTGATATATATTTAAAAATCTATATATTTTGATATTACGTATATCTTTTTGATCCATCGTAGATGCGAACGAATACCGAAACCACTCTTAACGCTCTGACAACCAATATGAACATCTTTCGTGAAACTAGTAAAAAAGTGACGGAAGATAATACGGCATTGCTTTTGGAGCTAAAGAAATTACGTGAAACGCTAGAGGAAGTTCGACTGAAATCTTCGCAACAGGTCCCCTTACCTACTTCCTGTCCTCTTTCTCGTTCAACTCCACCTCCTTCTTCACCTTCATCTTTTCCTTCTTCTTCTTCTTCTTCATCTTCTCCTCTTCCTCCTCTTCTTCCTTCTCCTCCTCCATCGGAATTAGAACCTTCAATACCACCCCCACCTCCTCCGTTTCATCCTTCAGTTTCCTTGCAATCTCAAATGCCATTGATACAACCGACGACTCCTAACAGTAGCAGAAGTAGTAAGAATAGGACACCCACAAGAAAGTGTTCCACACCATTGTGCAACAGGCCTAAGATCACCGTCGAGGACTTACTGAAAGTCACCCTGAAAAAGGCTCCACAAAGTATCAAAGTATAACTGTCTAAATTCTGCAAATTAGTAAAATTGCATCCTCACGATAAAACTTCTAAGAATACGTATGTGTATGATTGTCTTAGATCTCATAAGATTTTTATTTTTTTAATTGGTGAATGCAAATCATACGAGAATTAATCTGAAGCTTAATTAGGATAGATTCATAAAAAATCGGATCGTATCAGAAAGTTAATGTAATTCTCCAACACTCTTCCCTTTTAAGGGAATGTGTGAATCCAAGACTGTTTAGAAATAAAAAATAAGTACATCATACATACACAGAAAGAATTTTATACCGGAAGAAATTAGAAATATTTTTTATATTTACATTTAATTGTAATGTAAACAAAATTTGTTTTTTAAATTTTGTTTCTGTCCTTGTTGAATAAAAAATTAATACGCTGCAGTACATATATGCGAAAAATTAATTCTTTTTAATATTAGGTGTACAATTTTGCTTCCGCCGTTTTCCTATAGATGGCTTTAGCGGTGAGTGGTGGTCGAAATAAATATATCATAGACGTCATACAATAAACTTGGGCATCTGTCAACATAACTCCATAGAAACATCAGTCGATTTGCATCGTAAAGTTATTCTCGATTGAAAATGTTTTAATTTTCTGCTTCAATATGAAGAAATCTGCGGCTGAGGCTCATCGAATGCTCTCAAATACTTATGGTGAGGCCGCTATTGGCGAAAGAAAGTGTCGTGAGTGGTTTCAACGGTTCAAGAACGGTAATTTTGACGTCGAAGACCGGCATAGCGGTGGAAGAGAAAAGGTTTTCGAAGATGCAGAATTGGAGGCATTACTTGATCAAGACTAGTGTCAAAATCAAGAAGATTGGCACGATCATTGGGAGTGACTCAACAAGCCATTTCAAAACGCCTCAAAGCCATGGGGAAAAAAACGGCGGAAGCAAAGTTGTACACCTAATATAATTCAATGTTCATCCATACTTAATGACGGAATAGAAAAAATAAAAAATTGTTGTATTCCATTTCAGGAAAATAGACGAAACACTGTGCCAGGCCCAAGAGGTCCGATCGTGTCCTTGGAAATGTTGCGTAATGTAAAGCTGAAATCTGCGAAGCGTAGACCTAATGCTCAAACTGGAAGATCACCCAGAAACGGTCGAGTCGTTAAAAACCGAATTGCATCAAATGTCAATCTCTCGCCAATTTTGACTGGTTCGGAAGGCAATTTGGAGCGAATCCTGCGGCGAGTAGATCTAAACAGACCGAGGAGACTCTTGTCCAGCTCAAGCAGCTTCCGCGAACGCGATTTCACAAGGGAGACGCAGTGTCACTCGTTGGAAACATTGGCGTACAGCCAATCGCAATCCACGCTCGAATGACCACAGTACATCGTGTATATGAATTGTGTGATGCAAGAAACTTAAAAATCATAGAATTGTTAAAGAAAACTTGCGGTATACATTGAAATAATTTATTTGCTTGCATATCATAAACGTGTTAGATTTAAGAACTTTTATAAAGATATATGGAAAGAGAGAGAATTCAAAAAAGAACTCTTTATCAACTTGTATTATTAAATATAAGTATACTATACACATAAGTGGGAAAAATTAAGAGAAAATTAATTTGTTATGATATGTAACGCAAGAAATTAAATTCTCGTTTCTCATATGTCATAAGCTGCGTTCCATTGCACGCATAAAAACGACACCTTATGCGTATTATACGTGCAACGGAACGCAATCACAAGATAATATGATTGCAAGACCAAAAGTCTAAAATTTAAATCGCAGACGTATGACATATTCGTCATATAAAAAAAATTAAAATATCTAATTTATATATTCAAATATTTAATATTAAATTAATATTTAACACAAGAGCTCAAAGCTCTTTGCTGCGAAATTTTTCTACGATTGGCTGGCCGAAAATTTAAATCGATCTCTTAATAAAACTGTGACCAAGGCATAGATTTGTAATTACTTTATTTGTAGCTTTCATGTGTGTAGTTTTACAGAAAAAAAGATTGTATCCGGTGTATTCGCATCGACTGTAATACAGAGCGTAAGAACGCATGCGGATCCAAGAATGTAAAATCAACAATTCCTCCGAACGATGATGAAAAATCAAATAAACATTGCTTCGCACTATTAATTGTTAATAGCGATTAATTCTTATCGAAATCAACGAAATCGAATAAATCGAATAAATCGAATATAGGTAGTTTGAAATTTAGATAGTTTTCGAAATAATCCAGATGGTCTCCGATTTATATTGTACAAACGTATAATCGGATATTGGGATAACCCCAAAGGGCTAATAATTCATCGGCGTTCAGAGATCGCTACCACCATTCGTTGCCACGTGACGCGTTACTTTTTTTTTTGCTTTTATGTAGCTAAATTCCTTAAAACACTTTGCCGCACAGATACATGCTATGTACTTGAGAAATATATTTATATATTTATATATATGCGCTTGCGTTTTACAGCCTACGACGGCATCCGCCTCGCTCCGCAGTTCTTAATTTAGAGCTCTGTTTACCTTGCACACAGTTTTCGCGCGATTTAATCTTCTCGATTATAATCGACTCAATCATGTCATATACTCGAGTTAATGCTACCCGAGTTCCTCGGATACCCCCCCCCCCCCCGCGTCGAGATTATTTCTTCGTTTCTTTTTCTCCTTCTCTTTAGCCTACTTATTACGTTCTTACAATTACATTCGCAAATATACTTACTTTACGAGAGCCGGTTGATATTATTTTGAATTATTCCTCATAACGTGTGTCATTTGTAACATTATCAATTTTATCGTTACGATACCTAAATACAGGGGCACGATGGACACCAATTATTTTCTGCTTTTTCGTCTTCCTCGCGGAAGTTGCGATCCGCGTTTCTCTCGCCGAATTATGCTTTTCTTGTTGTTGCCGAACGCCTCGCTTCTCTGCTGCGCTTAAACTCGGCGTCTCCTCTCCGTCACGTTATCAGCGAGAAAACTGAGTGAGCTTAAATGGATTTTGGTAGTTCTAGCTATATAATAAGTAGATAAGTTTAATGCGTAAAATGGTCAGTAACTAGCTAAGCTTACCTCATCGATCTGAAGAAAGGATACTTTTCACTGTAAATCTCTATGATCCCGACAGACTCCTCATTACAAGAACAATGGAATGTTTCAACGTAAAAATCGATGGAATGGCTCGTCGATGAATCGGCGAATGGACGATTACAAATACTGATTCCGACTATCGTCCATCCGGAAGGGAAAGACGAGGATAGAGAAATATGAATATATTTATTATATATATATAAAAGTCGGGGTACAGTCATTTATTCTGTTCTTATACCACAGCAATCGATATTTAGTTTACACAACGGGCGTATGAAAACGTACAACCACATTACAGACTAGCTAGATAGTTACTTTGTTTGCTGTGAGTAACGTAACGCGCTAAAAAGGCTCACCTACGATAACGTAATCTTTTTCATTTTTCCCCTTCTTTCGTTTCTTTTTTTCAATTTTTTTTTTATCACGACGCTGCTCATCGAGCTGACGCGATGGGACGCATTCGCCTCGGAAGAGATGCGTAAAAGAACCGAAAATCGAGAGATCGCCGTCAGAGAATTTCGATGATACGCTTTACCGCTTCTCGCTCATGTTACAGAGCTCCTTCGCGACGCGGTCTCCATTCGAAAGCTCACAAAATCAGGCGTTATTGCATTTGACGAGGTACAGAGGGTGGGGGAGGGGGAGAAGGGGGCAATCGAAGTAAGCACATTCTCTTCTCCTCAGCTCGGCTATGCCAAGAATCCATGCATTTAAAAATTTTTCTTTTCGGCTATCTATAACATTACAATTGTATCGGATCTTGTTGGAAGTACATATCTTTTACAGAATACAAGCTCGAGAGCGAGATCCGTCTTGACAACTGACAATGAAGGCGCCGCCGTTATTTCCGTAGAGAGAGAGAGAGAGAGAGAGAGAGAGAGAGGTGCAAATTGTCTTCGAAATAAATCAATTTACATGCTAATAAACACCGTAATAATTACAGGACGCGTGGAATAAAATATCGTGCGCATAGTAAAAAAAAAAAAAAAAAAACCGAGGAACGAAAAGGAGGAGATTGGAAGAGGAGAACTCCAGGTGATGGAGATGTAAGAACGGACAGTCGTGTAAATATATCCCGATATGACATCGTGCAATCCATACGCCTTTTTGTTCCTCTTTCACTGTAAAACATAGGACGTACAATTCGTTCTCACTGTGACGGAAATCAAATCTGAATTACCGAGATTAAATCGACCGGCGCCGGCATCGACATCGGCTCGACGTTCTCGACGTCGTTTGCACATTTATCGGACGCATACAAAGTGCAAATACGACGTTTTCTCTCGATACGCAAAAACGGGGCAACAGAAAAGTGCCTTTCTCCTAAATGCTTTGCAGTCTCTCTATTTACCGCAGGGTGCGTGCCCTTTTGTCTCGTTACTTTCTGCATGTTCTGTAACTCAATTGTATGTATGTGTACGTAATATAATGCCGGATGAACTGAATGATTTATTTATTAATTAATGTTGCTGTTGTATTTTGTTGTCACTGCTGCTGCTGCTGCTGCTGCTGCTGCTGCTGCTGCTGTGTTTTGAAGTAACCATACAGTGCGTGCTTTTTTTAAAGGGTCACGCAAATTTCTAAAGATCTCCCCTTCCCACCCCGAACTGCCACCTGCTGAATTGGTTTTTTTTCTTTTGCTTACGAGTTATTTAAGAGTTTTTTCTTGTGTCTCAGTTTTATATGCGCAAGATAACACTCACTACAGCTAGAGTTACGATACGTCCTGGTCTTCCACATCCTGCAACTGCTCCTTTTGTTCAGCTTCACCTGCGCAACAAAAATACGAAATATTTCAGTAAATAATCTAGTTGAACGCACCTAAACAATGCATGTCAAATAAATTATGTTTGATAAATAAAACAATTTGAAGAGATAATTTTAAATAAAATCAATTTGCGATATTTTTCTTATTTTTTTTTTATTTCTTTTAATATGGTGACGATTGTATAAGAGTTATGTCGCTCACCAAGTCAGATATGCTGGGAGGATGAGGACGATAGGAAAAGGGTATCTATGTTCAGGCATCGTGGGTATCAACAGGAATATCGTCTTGTTGGTCAGACTCGGACTCTGAATTACAAAGTATTAATTCCACGTTCGAAAACCGCATAATTTTCTTACAAATTAAAATAAATTAAAAACAAGCTTACAGCAGAAATATGAATATAAATATGAGCGAGAGAAAAGTTCAGAATATCTTATGATCTTAATATATATTTTATTGATTTTATCCTCTAACATTTTCATAAATCCGAGAGGGGGAGGGAGAGAGACAGAGAGAGAGAGAGAGAGAGGGGTCAATATTTCTTCAGAAAAATATTAAATCATCCATAATTCTCATATATCATGTAAAATTAAAAATTTATACAAAATTTTTAATCAATTTATTGAGTAACTATGTATATAGAGCTTAAAATGAGTAATTCAATCTAGTAATACGCAACCTTTCTTAGGAATCATTTTCAGATCACTTTTAGAAATAGGTAAAATCTTTCGGATCGGATAATGTTCATTTCGTTTGTATAAAAAATAGAAAATATAATTTGATATTTTCAATTATGAGCCGTAAGGTCGCAGAAAATTCACAGGTGAGCCGCAAGTTGCGCATCACTGGTTAATAAATCATCCCGTCAAATTACAAAACGCTAATTTAAAACTCTATTAGAAGCAATATGAAATGAATGTAAAACTTGTTTCCCTAATCTTTCGACAATTTCAGATCATTCATTTGCAATTTTTAGATAAAAATGTTTATCTACTTTATCCCGGCAGTAAATTTAAGAGTAAAAAAAAGACCACAATTGGAATTATAAAGCTAAAAAAGTTCCTTTTGTTTCTAGAATTTAATAAAAGACATGTTCATTGAAAAAACAAGTTTCTCATCTTCTTTTCTATATTTCTAGTCGTGATGAAGCATGTAGCTTCTGAGACATCCTAGGTAAATTACGTGAGACGAGATAAAATTCTATCACAATGCATAGTATTCGTCTGCGTGTCGATCGATCGAGAATAGGCGGGATACGTCGCACGACGCATTCTAGCGTAATCAAAACATCCCTATGGCAGTTTTGCCTCTGTAAGTAAATGGGACACTAACCGTCTCCCTGCATATCCGACGTCCATAGAGTGAGGTTGTCCCTGAGGAGTTGCATTATGAGGGTAGAATCTTTGTAGCTCTCCTCAGACAGCGTGTCCAGTTCGGCGATCGCATCGTCGAAGGCTGCCTTCGCTAAGCGGCATGCTCTGTCAGGGCTGTTGAGGATCTCGTAATAGAACACGGAGAAGTTGAGCGCTAA